GTGCCCACAAAGAGTCTAATTCTATATCTCAGGAATCGAAACCTCACACAGCTGCGATCAGCAAGGTTAAGACTACCTCACTCCCGTCCTTTGCACGACTGAGATATGCCCCGAGGGACAGTTCCTACATGATATTTTTAATTTTATGTCAGGATGTTATATGGTCCTGGTGGGCAATACGCCCATTTTACTGGTCGAGATGCAAGCCGAGCATTGGCTCTCATGACGTTTGACTCTGAAGACCTTACCGGAACATAGAAGGTCTGAGTGCTTCACAGTTGGAAATTCTACGAGACGGAGAATATAAATTTATGGAGAAGTATGTCAAAATGTGACAGATAGTACCGAGCAGAAACAATAATGGGAATGAAGTCGAGGCTCGTAAAACTAATGGGAATGAATCACATGAAAATATAACTGAAGGAAATTATGCAATGTAGAAATCATCCGTGGCTGAAATTTGTTATATGCTGACTCATTATTTCCTTGATCGTGTATATGAACTTCCATGTATACTCTTGTATCATTATGAACATCCTGTTATAGGCTTTGTTTGGCTACGTTATAAATTTCATTGGACTTTTTTCTTAGCCCCTATTTGATAAAGATCAAATCAAATTTTTAGTAAATTATGATAATAGTTGATGGAATGTGTTGGATTTTAATACAAACCAAATAGGGACTTGTATGTTTTTTCTTGTATGACTTTTAACTTACCTAGTTTAGCTTAATTTAATTAGAGATTCGTTCAAAGGGAGGAAAAATGGGTCCTGAGATGGTAAAGGATACAGAACAGTTAAAAGAAAATATCATAAACCAGTTGAAAAAAAGGAGAAATAAGAAGTCTCTAAGAAAACGTGTGTGAATTTCAGTTCAAGCGTTACATTTATGCGAGCGAGTACAATCCGAAATCAATTTTTAATTCTATACAACTTTATCGAGGTTCTGCCAACATCGTCAAACTTTCAAGGTCAAATCCATTTCGGGGGTTTGTTATAGCATTCCTCAATTTCCAATCAATATAAAGATATTTTTGTCATTTTTGTAATTTTCTAGTTCTCTTTGAATTTTTCTGCTGAATTAGGGTTTTGTTTTGACTCTTTAAATATGTTTTAAGACTTTGAAGACCATACAACCTTTTTTTTTTATTAATAATATTTCAGTTTTCTTTTTCTGGTGGATTCCAGTATATCTTATGTCTGTTCAAGCAAAAGTCGAACAAGACTCATTCGTGTATTACAAACAATACCCTTATAATATCATTCATATTTTCCTTCTATGTCAAAAGGTATTAGAGCTAGATAGTTAAAGCATTTGAGGCGATTGAAACTAACTTGCAAGAAATAAGTAATGAACTAAAGGACATATTAGAGGCTATAATCCTAGACACAATAACCCATCGTCCCTAGTTCATCTTGCTGACCCTGTAAATCCAGCCCTAATTCATTATTTCATGTTTATAAAATCAAGGAAGAGAAAATTATTTTCAATGGGATTCTAGATGTGAAGACCTTACTTAAAGGTTGAACCCCAACCTTGAGAGCCCCATCGTCCCATCCCTAGAGTATCATGATGGAGGTAAATCGCGAAATATGCCTCAATAGGTCGAGGAACAAAAGCTTACCCATACACTGGTACCCACAAAAAGTCTAATTCCATATCTTAGGAATCAAACCCACACTGTGACTGCCAACAAGACTGAAATTATCTCACTCTTATCCTTTGTATCACTGGATTATGCCCTGGAGGATACTTGACTGGTTGAATGAAGTACAAAGGTTTTTCGAAATTATGGAAGTTAGTGAAGAACGCAATGTTACAATTGTTGCGTAAGCACTTAAGGAAGTACAAAGGTTTGAACCCCATTTTTTTTTGTTAAGAATGCATTTTAGAATAGTAGATTGATTGAGAATGTATTGTTAAAAAAATTTAATTTGCATGTAATATTATTTTATTGAAAAATGTGCGATTGGAAAAAAAAAAAAAAAAAAATATATATATATATATAGTACCAAGAAATTACAATTAGCATATTGAACTTTTTTATTTAAATAAAAAAACTAATATTATATTTTTAAAAGAGAATCACGAATTCGAGATAATAAAAAATGTACACCACAACACAAGTTATGAATATACTAAGATCAATTGTCACGTGTTATAAAAGAAGTTAAAAAAATCACTCAAATTTGTAAACAATACAATAAAGTAGAGAAAGCTTGAATTGAAAAGTATGAACGCTTCAATTCTTCAACTTACACGATAATTTAGTTTAAACTTTTTGATTCATAGAAAGCTTAAATTGTAAAGATTAACATGTACTAATCTCTAAAATACAACAATATCATGTGAGGCAAGATGCAAAAAAGAAGAAGTCCATCTTTATTTCTTAAGGTTAGAGACTAGAATTTTAAACAAATTACTGCCCAAATTAGGGTTTTTAGGTTTTGTATTTTTTTTACCAACTTATAAATTGTAGTAAAAAAATTAAGTTTCATTCGAATATCCACAGTTCTAGTCTGAGAACCAAAAATCGACTCGAATTTAGTCGATGCTCGATTCATACTTTACTTACTTATTTTTTATTTGAAATTGGACCAGAACCCACAGTTTCGATTTGAGAAGTTGATTATGGTTAAAACTCCCAAATCTAAGAGGTTGCATCGTTCAAACTAAACTCCTAAAAGAGCAAATAATGCATTGTGGATTGGATTGCCAATTTGTCTTTTGACGTTAGATTCAATAGTGGAAGACAACGCTGATAAAATTTGAAGGTCGGAACTAATTTTTACTGACCTATGCTACAATTTTCAATTTAAGCCCCCATTTAGCCCCATTAAATTTCATTCTTTTTTTTTTTTTTTTTTTTTTTTTTTTTTTTTATTTTTTTTTTTTTTTTTTTTTTTTTTTTTTTATCTATTCTCAATTATACAATCTTTTATAAAATAATATTACACATAAATTGAATTTTTTTCCTTTACAACCGTTCATTTTTCAAAAAAATAATATTTCATCTATTTTTATTTCAAAAAATGGGAGACAAACTGGCTATAAAACCTCTAAAATATTTCCTCAAACTCTTGGGCTATTCAAATATAACGCAAAAAAGTGTTGAAAGAGTAGGGCCTACGACTTCCAAGAACCCTCAAATCCACAGCCAATTCCTACCCTTTATCCTCTCCCTCCAATGGCCACCACTGTGCTAAAAGCGCCACCTACTTTCGGCACAACCAACGGCAGCAATTCGACCCTAACGTCCCGTAATTTTACTCGCGTATCGTTTATTTCTATTGGACAGAAATGCTCTGTTAAACGATGCCGTAATTTTCACTCTAGCATTACTAGTATAAAATCCCCACACCGCTCGCTTAAGAAGTTCTTAAACTTCGCTTCAGATGGAGAAGCTGTTGAAACGCAAACTGAAACCCTAGAGAAAGACCCCGCTCAGGAAGCTGAACCTGATATTGAGGTTCTATTTTATTTTCTGTTCATTATTTTATTTTTAATTGCAATTGGATTTCGTTTATAATACTGCTGAATTGTTGTATTTTCTGGACATTTTTCCTGTAAAAACTTTTTCCATTTCACTGCTGATACTGGCCATGTTAGTTAACTGGAGTTGGATGGGGCTATTGTTGTAGTTTTGATAAGTTGTTTCGTTGTTCTTTGTATTGATTAAAAGACACATTCTTGAAATAAAAATTGTTTAGATTAGAAATATCTTGTTTGAATGGAATTGATGAAAGTTGTTATAGTTGATTTGTTGCAAGATAGTTAAAAAATGGGGATTCGTAACACACAAGTATATTCACTGCCTTTGTTAGGATAAGTAGGAATTCTCTGTTGGTTTACTTTATTTGTAATGTTGGAAGACACTGCTTGTCATATTTATGAAATGGATTGAGTTGTTTTGGATTACCCGTTTAGTAATTTCCTAGAATTGTGCTGGATAAAAAGATAATCCAATTGATTCATAACTAAAAGGACATCATTTTTTTCGTATTGTTCTGTTCAATGTAAATTCTTAAATTCAAAGTTCGTCTCAGCTCCTTCCAAGATCGAATTTATGTCTGGTTGCCTCACTAAAACTGTGTCATTTGCAAATACAACACACCAAGGAACCTTATCTCTATAAGCCTTTTCATAACTAAAACAAAAATATTAGTTCTTGAAGCACATTGTGAACTGATTGCTAACATGCTAGAATTCACACTTGTGAAGGATTGTTTGTTGCATATCCATATTGTTTCTTTTTTCTAAAATATTAATCTGAGAAACAAAATTCCATGAATTTTTCGAGCATTAAAAACAATTATGGTTCTTCGAGACCATTGATAATACAAACATTAATAGGCTTTCTTATTAACATCAGTCTAATCCTTTTAACTCGTACCTTATTTTCAAACTTGGATCAATTAATATTGCTAACATGTTTATGGTCTTCTCTTTACTTGTATACCAAAATTTATGGCAGGGGCTACCTAATTATTTTGTCTGCTCATTAATGATGTTCTTTTTGAAGTCTTATGGATGGGAATGATATTTAAGAACTCAGAGTTGTGTTGAGATTGTGTGTTTTTTATTTTGAAGTGCTTTTCTTCTTACTTTAGGAGGAGGATTGTACTATTCAAATCACTCTTGGCTAATGCAGATTATACATATTATACTGAGCAGAGTTAAACGATAACTTTTAGATTTCACAAGTTGTTGTAATATGCAAATGTAAAATAGTTGAAGTAGCCAGGGTCCAGGGATATCAAGCATGCATTCTTGGTGAAGAAAGCTCAGTTTGTCTTTTACTGTATACAATATATTTCAATGGCATAATGAAAAAAATGATCACTTGTCAACTTGAAAAGCTTGCTAAATTAATTCAGTTCATTCATCATGTGATTATTGCTAACTTTATATTGGATGTGCGTTCTGACCTCCTGAACTTCTAATTCATAAGAACTTATATTTTACTGAGAGATTATAATATATGCTTAGGTACAAAGGAGATATGTACCGAACAAACTAGACGTCGCGTTTTTTTCTAACTCCTGTTTTTTTTTTTTTTTCAGGTATCTAGTTAATTATTGCGAGTGAGGCTTGTACTGAGATTGTTATTTCCTTAAATGATTTGCTACTTCTATTTGATGTACAGGGCAGTTCAGATGGTGGTGGTGGTGTTGATGCTGCCAGTGAGAGTGACAGTGCAGTTGCAGAGGAATCTGCGTCAGCTGTTAAAGTGTCACTAAATTTGTACAAAGAGGCTTTGGCAAATAACGATGAGGTGAAAGTCGCCGAGATAGAGCTATTCCTTAAATCAATTGAAGATGAGAAAATTGATCTTGGGAGAAAAGTGGCTACTTTATCAGAAGAATTGTCATATGAAAAGGCTAGGATTCTTAGAATCAGTGCTGATTTTGACAATTTTCGAAAGAGAACGGAGAGAGAACGCCTTAACTTGGTAACAAATGCACAGGGTGAAGTGGTGGAAACTCTGTTGTCTGTTTTGGATAATTTTGAGAGAGCCAAATCCCAGATCAAGGTGGAAAAAGAGGGAGAGGAGAAGATCCATAATAGTTACCAAAGCATATACAAACAGTTTGTGGAGATTCTTGGATCCCTTGGTGTTGTCCCAGTGGAGACTGTGGGGAAACCGTTTGATCCCATGGTAAGTATCTTTACATGTGCAAAATTGTCAATTAGCATGAATATGTGGAATAACTGCCTCTGATGTCCATAAATTCCAACATTCCAACAATCATCTTCCTTTTGACCGCAGCCATAAATATTAGCCCATAAATTCCTTTCTTCATACAAGAATCTAGTTTCTCTAATTGCCATATTTTGTTAGCTGCATTGGTTAGTATCACTCTCATATTTGGTCATTGGCCCATTGCAGGTAAGCTTCCGAGTTGGCTCAAAATTCAGTAGAGTAATATATGGACCTTTTGAAAAGCTGTATAAAGTTTGTTCTGGTATTATCAAGACCTGGATAAGATTTTAACTCAAATTAATTTATCGATTGATTGGAGCCAACTCGGTGAGTGTACTAGGCAGACATCGCACGACATCTTAAACCTTGCATGAGATTTTTATTTCTATTTTTATAAAATTTATATGCCTTCGATTTTTGTTTGTTTAAATTGGTGTTGGGGGAGTATTCGATTGATTTGTCCTTGAGAGTTTTTTATTGGCTGCATCATTTCTGGCCTGTTGGCCTATATGTATCCTTAGTTACTAAGTGCATGTTTGGTACAGAGACATTATACTCACCAAGATTTTAATTTCTTCTTCTTCTTTAATACTCTATATAGTTCTATGTAATCCTCCCAAAACAGCATTCCATAAGACATAAATATCCTTCTTAGTTACCAATGTTTCTGACATTTAACTTTATTATGCTCTTGACAAAGCTCCACGAAGCAATAATGCGCGAAGATTCAACAGAATTTGAAGATGGTATTATCCTTGAAGAGTACCGGAAGGGTTTCAAACTTGGTGAGAGACTCTTAAGGCCATCAATGGTGAAGGTTTCATCCGGCCCAGGGCCTGCAAAATCCAAAACTGCCGAGCCATCAGAAGAAGCAGAAGTCAAAGAATCTAGTGAGGAGGGCAGCCCTGAAGCTGCATCTGCCGAGGAATAGCGGCACTTTGAAAAATCAATTTTGTACTAGCAAATACTTACTAAAAGTTATTATTCTTGTAGTACCATATGCTTGTGAGATTTGTTTTATTTTCTATTGGGATATTGGTTTGAAGAGAGGAGCACTTCCATATCTGTATAGTTCGTTGTTCAACGAATTTAAGAGGTAACACGCCCATGTAGCAGAAAGTGGTGTTAACAGAGGTTTTGGTTGTATGTTCACTCAAGAGCATGTTTGATACGTTCGAAAACTAAAAATAAATGTCAAATATCTAGAATAAAGTCAATTGAAAGAATTAGATACCCATAGAAGTACAAATAAATAAAAGGGTAATTATATTGTCACCACAAAGTTTACTTGATACTCCACATTATATTCACACTACAATTTAAACGTATTTTCAATAAATACATACAACAAATTTACAATTATAGTCCTGACTCAATAAAAATTAAAATGAAAAAAATAATATTGCGGTATAATCTCTACCCAAAATTATTTCTCATATTCCTCATCTTTCTCCTCGCATTCTTCCTCACCAACTCCCCTCCCCACTGGCTCAATTATCCATTAAATTACACGAATCCTTGCTTATTTCTTAACACGGTCAAGTTCTAATGCACCGTGGCTTATTAATTTCTTTAAACATTCATGATTATCCCGTTCAAGTTTTGGTAGACGTTTCTGGGAAATGAACTCTAATTTGTAGTGCAGATCACTTTTTCTTCTTCCAATGGACTCTCACTAAAATCTTCTGAATGGCTACTACCTTATTTTACTCCTCTCCTTGTATTGCACCCTCAACTCTTCTTGCAAGAGTGAATGAACCATTGATAACAACTGCCCAAGATTTCACACCTTAAGGAAAAACAAAATACAAGAGATTGCTCCTTATTTGAAGTTTGGCTCAAGACATGATCTTGAAATAAATGTTGAAAATGGTGGAATATGGAATCAATCCATAGAATTACATATCAATGAATAATATATGGATTTGTTGTACAAATCTTCGTATTTGTATGTTTAAATATGAGTTATATATCTTTTGTGATGAATAAATATATCGATGAATGATAGATAGGATATTTATGCCATTTTACAATCAGTTATTTTAATAAATAAATAAAAATGTGGTTTATTGAAAATTTATTGTGGTGATAATATAACTACCCTAAATAAAATGATCAAATTAAATTTAATAGCTTTAATAGATACGGGATGTACATTTAACATAATTACAAATGATTTAGTTCTAAGACTATAGGATATGAAGTACGAGGAAGTCAAATTCATGATAGTAAAATCGAATTCAAAGAAAAACTATTTGATGACTTTAAGATTAAATTTTAAAAAAGACAATATAGTTTAACTATTACATCAATTACTTTTAATTTCTCTATGATTCCTATACATAAAAGCTATTGATTTATATTAACTGATAAAAGGTCTTATTGCCTTTTAAATCTAATAATTTTTTAATTTCTATTTTAAAATCTTTCATGTCTTGATTTGTATGTTGGATTTCCGCTATTCTAATCTTTATGTCATCCTTTATTATTTCTAATTTTGCTTGTACCTTATTTCTATCTCAATATCTTATAGGATCTTCTCATATTATTTGAATTTGTTATGCTAATTTAGAAGATGTTCTATTGAAAATTATTAATTATTTGTCCTAGGTATTGTAGAGATAAATGCCTTAAACATTCTAAGCTTTCTAAACTTTCACCAAAATTATCTGAATTTTCTGGTTCTGATTTTGAATATTGTAAAGGGAAGAGTCCCCCAAGCTTAACTTACAAATCTGTTGTATCTAATTTCTGTATAATGGAAATATCTTTACCAAAAATTATTGCATCATGAGTAATAGTTAGACTTCCATTTTTACTTAATAAGAATTTCATTCCTATAACAAATTCAATTTTAATTAGTTGACTAACTAATATAGTTGTTAAGCTATATCGTCTTGAAATTTAATATTACAATCATCAAAAGGTCTTTATTTGAATTCCATTTTATTACCATCCTTTTGACTTTCTCGTATTTCATATTCTGATTTCTGTTTACAGTCTTTTGGAATTAAATCTTCTCTAATTATGTTAAATATACCTCCTATATCTATTAAAATCATTAAATTTAATTTGATCATTTTATTTATTTGTACTCCCACGAGTATTCTAATACTTTTAGTTTGCTTTATTCTAGATATTAAATATATTATTTCTTCTTGATTTTCTGTTTCTAAATGATTATTTTTTGTGTAATTATCTATAGGTTGTTTTCCTTTTATGTCTAAATTTATAATTCTATATTTTATTTCTCCTCATATTTTATATATTTTTATCTGTTGTATCTCTTGTATTAATCATTTTAATTTCCAATCTTTCTATAATTTCAGTATCGTATTTAGGTTTATTATGAATTTCTTCTTTAGTTCCTAAATAATTATTTTATTGAATTCCTAAACAATTTTTACATTAATTTCTATTTTTATGTCTTGAATATATTTTACATATTTTTTATTTATCCATCATTGATCCTTGTCCTCTAATACATTCGTGGACATATTCGTGATCCATATTTCTCATTTTTATAACAAGAATTGAAAAATATAATTCTTCTATGCGACTACGATTACTACTACTATCTTCATAACTACTTATTATTTCTATATTATCTAATTAATCATTTGTATAAATTCTATATACTAATTACAAGATTCATTATCAGATAATTTTATAGTATTGCACTGTATTTCTTCAGTCAACATAGATTTATTTAAAGTTTCTATGTTTTTATTTTTGTTGGAGCATTTACTAGCAAAATGCCACATACCTATTATAACAAACCATATATATAATTTTGATATTTTTTAATATGATATTTTCTTTCTTTTTCTATAATCATAGGTCCATGGTGAATATAAATTTGAGCAAAAAGAATACTTTAATTTCTTTATTTATTTTCCAGCTACTTTTTATGAACAACATTCTTTTAATTGATCAATCAATATATCTTCCTTGTCACGAGCACGCTTATTTATGAATTTATTCTTCAAGTTTTGGGGATAAATGGGTCTTTTTAGTTCATTACATGTGGTATCTATTGATTGATTGATCTCTAATTGATTCCGTCATCGGTTCATGCTTTATTTACGAGCTTAATCCGTTCATTTTTCACTCGAGTAAGTTTGTTCGCAGCGTTCAGGTCACTTACAAGATTTTTCCCAAATGAGTGCTTTTAATTCATTTTGAGTTCACGTACAATTTTGGTTTTTCAGAATGCTCGCTTAATTGAATATATGATTATATAGATTTCATCATTTTTATTAAAATTTACTAAACCCTAATTTTTAACAAAACCAAACAGGGGCTACACAAAATTTTCACATAAAATATCCAAAATGATCATTTATTATTATTTTTTTAAATATATTATATTCACTTGATATAGCAATATTTTTCATTTATCAAGATCGTAAGGAATCTATGAATAACAAATGGATAGATGTTGTAGATTCTACAAAATCTATAGATAAAAAGTGATTGTCATTTAATCACTTCCAAAGCATGCACTTGAGGTTTCCAGTGAGCATGTTTTGTCTTTCTAGTTAATTTTTACGGTTGTGCTACATGTATATAATTGTTTACATAATGATTTACTTACACATAATGTGTATACATAATAAGTAGATAGATGTTATAGATTCTACGAAATCTATAGATGAAAAGTGATTGTCATTTAATCACTTCCAAAGAGCACTCAAAGTTCCTAGTGATCAGGTCTTGTCTTTCTAGTTAAATTTTACGATTGTGCTGCATGTATTTAATGATTTACATAATTATTTATGTACGCATATGTGATGAGATATAATTGAGTCAGAATTTACTCAAACAAATATAAAAGGAATAATGTTACTTGTATATAATAGAGTTATATAATAATATATATGCACATGATGAGTCAAAAAGATAGTGTGAAATATTTTTTTTATTTGGTTGAAAAGATTTTGATACAATTATATTTCACCACATTATGTTTATGTAAACCATTATGTAAATCTAATCATATTTCATCACATCATGTACATGTAAACCATTATGTAAGGTATTATGTACATGTAACACGACCAACAAAAAAAATAATTTTCCACTCTCTTTTTGATACCTCGTTTGAATATAAAACATTATATAACTCCATTGTGTACAAGTACTATTATTCTAAATTTTATACTTTCAGTATGTGGCATATAGACATGAGTAAACAATATTACTAATATTGTTAATTTTACTATTGTTTGAGCCAAATTTTTTTTATAAATGCATTGTGAAATAGTGTTATGATGGAAAATGTGTGGTTAAAAAATAAGGAAAAATTTTGAGTTTGCGTGTAATATTATTTTATTAAAAAATATGTGGTTGAAATGTGATCAAATCACTGTTGAAAAATATATTTTGAATGAAAAATGGAGCTTGAACGAAGGCTATATAACATACCAAATATCACCATTTTAAAAGGCAACGCGTATACGTGAAAATGGAAGTCAACCCAATTTTGATAGGCTATAATTAGGAGTGTCAATTTTATACAATAATATTAAAAAGCAAGGACGTTTTATACTAATTACTCTTTTAATAATTTATTTGGATATATTTGTAATTTTTTTTTAAAGTTTCAGGGTATAATTATAATTTTTTTTTTAATTTTTCTTTTCTTTTTTGTTTTATTTATATACGAGGGCATATTTGTTATTTACATTTATTTTATTGAGAAATTAGATGAAAAATGACCTCTTCTATAAGAAAATGTGAAAATATGGGTAAAAATATTAAAAATGAAAGGTAATGATATTTTAAATAATAATATTGAAAGGTATAAATTTTTGTGATAATTATCCTTCTGAGGCCCGCGTCCTTCTCTCTCCAGTGATTTATAGAAATTCAAATTGAATTGGAAATGAAAAATAAAGCGTAAAAATTGAGCCACGACTTGTAGTTGACTAGAACAGGTAGCAGGTTGTAGGCCACACACGCTACTGAGTATGAATAAAGCTGCAGAATGTCGATAAAAGAGATATTTTTGAAGGTTGATCCCCAATCTTGAGGATTCCTATCGTCCCGTCCTCAGAACTTTGTGAGGAAGGTAAATTGCGAGATGTGTCCCAGTAGGTCAGGGAACAAAAGCTGCATGTACACTCGCCTACAAGGAGTCTAATTTCACATTTCAGGAATCGAACCCCCACACTACGACTGTCAACAAAGAGTGAGATAACCTCACTTCTATTCTTCACACCACTAAACTATATCCCAAGGACGATAAAAGAGATATTTTTACTTACAAGCGAAGTGCCTGTCATTATTAAGTCAAGAATTACTAATTATTACAAGTCCACGGTTTAATGATACAAAAAAGTAAATTGTGATGTGAAATATTTTATAATTTAGAGAGTAAAAATTTTTAAATACTCTAATATGTTCTTAATATCTAATATTTAATTTTACTATTTAAAAAAATATTTATTGTTGTTTTCTATTTTTTATTTTCACTAATTTCCCTCCAAATTATTATATTATTTTTTCTTTAATTGAAAATTGAAATATTTTGAATACATTTAATTATAGAGAGTGTGTTTAACTCTCCAATTTAGAGCATAATTTTAATGGTTGACTTTATAAAATAAAGAATAACTTATGTTTAAAAAATCTTTTGGAAATGCTCCAAGTGTTTATAAGTAATAATCTAATAAATAAATAAAAATTTAAGTGATGAACAAATTAATATTTTACGTACTTTTACGAATATGTTAAAAAAAAAAAATACAAAGTAGTTTCACTTTTAGCACGTTTATAAACACTTGTCAAACGTATTAAAAAAAAAAACTTATCGTTCTTATCGAATTAGGAGTTTATGAATTAAAATTTAAATTTCTATCTACTCATCTAATTTATCCCTTGTTTGACAATCATTATTTGAAAATATTTTTTTACATACTTATTTTTAATCACACATTTATACAATAAAATAATTTACATACAAATTCAAAAATTTTCATTACTTTTTAATTACACATTATCCTAAAAATTAGTATTTATAACATTGTTTTGACCAAATAATGATCATCAATCAGGGGCTTAGATTATGTACTTTGAAAAATGTTGGAGTGATCGAAAATTTTTGCCAGAAGGAGTGATAGACACTCACATGCAGTGGGTCCCACACAAGTAAAAAATTATTTTTTCCTTCTTTTCTATCAGTCCTTATGTTATTGGAGCAATTCTCATGTACTTTTTGTATGACTTGAACCTAGGGATAGAAGTACAAGAATATTAGAACAAAATGTTGACCTTGCTTAACAAATTATAAGTTTCCACTTATAAGTTATAACTAACTAGTGATGACAATTTTACTATCAAACTCTGAATAATGTTTGGTAAGCCCGAAAGACTATATTGTTTTAATTAAAAGCTCAATTTTGTCATGGGAAGACCAACCTACCTAGGGATGTAAACGAGTCGGGTCAAGTCGGCTCGCGAGCCTAATGTTTCGGCTCGGGCTCGACCCGGTTAAAATGGCCGAGCTTTTTTGCGGGCTCGAGCTGGGCCGAGGAAAATAAGCTCGGCCCGGGCTTTTGCTCGAGCTTTTTACGGGCCGAGCCGAACAAGCTCGTTCTCTCCCTTTTTTTTCCCTCTAATCTGCTGCCATAAAAGGCAACAGTTTTGCTGCCTTGAAGGTAGCGAACTGCTACCTTTTAAAGGTAGCAAAATTGCCTTAAAAGGCAGCGAAAGGCAGCAGTTTTGCTGCCTTTTCAGCTTTAACTTTTTTTTAATTAAAAAGCTCGCGAGCTCACGGGCCGACTCGGGGGCCGGCTCGGGCAAAGCCCGTGTCTCCAAAATGGGGCTCGGCCCGAGCCTAGGCTCGGGTCTATCGAGCCCCGAGCCGAGCCGGCTCGAGTTTTTCCTGAGTCGAGCCACGGGCGGCCCGAGCCGACGAGCCCGATTGCCATCCTTAAACCTACCGAATAAACACATTTGGACAAGGTCAATTGATGGTTCCAACTAATGTACGAAAGAGAACATCGGCAGCCAACACATTTTCCACACACTCATAAAAGTTTAATAAATAACGTTGGACCTTCATTTGTCTTTAACTTGGGTTTGATGGTCATTTCCCATTCATTTTTAGATATTATCATACTGTTACTCAATAAATGGGCCTTTGAATTTCACTCCCCTCTACAATGAGAATCCTTTCATTTATAACTTGCCGATTTTACCCCTCTACACTCCAACCACCTTCAATCAATTTCAAAAATGATGGCATGCTAGAGTACATCCCGTGATTTATCTTCCTCATAAAGTTCTAGGGGCGAGACGGTGAGGACCTCAAGGTTGAGGTTCAACCTTTTTTCAAAAATGGGTAGTTGGAAGCATGGGGACACGAGAAAAAGCTTAAAGTAAATTCTTCAAAACTCACATGCAACCGTCCTCTGTTGTCAGAACCTCCAATCAATTGAAATTAGATGGCTCTGTGCATGGGCCAAATAATCTGTAAAAATGGGGAGAAAATGTGGAACACCATCATCTTTCTCACTTTTCTAGTAGCAGTTAATATTTTTATTTCCGGTTTAGGGATGTCAATTTGACTTGTCGACTTAGACGACTCGTGCCTCGATACAAAAGAGGCCTGAATTGGCCCAGCTTCCTTCGAGGCTCATTTTTGAACATCGACTCGGGCACGAGTCAATGGGTCAACCCATGACAAGCTCCAAAGTCACGTCCATTTTGGCTCGTGCATGCAGGCAATCAAACAAAGTGGCTGTATTTGCCTGTTTAAAGGCAACTAATGCTCTCTTTTAAGAAAAAGGCAGCTGCTGCTATAGCTGCAAATTCTGAAGGCAGAGGCTACTTTCATAAAAAAAAAAATATATTAAAAAAATATATATTTCCCACAAAAAAACAATAAAAATCGAGCCGAGCGAGCCATTTTTTTGGCCAAGCAAAAGCTTAAAAAGCGTTAAGTCTTTTTTTCTTGGAACCATCTCTAAACCCCACACACACACACACACACACACACACACACAAAACAAAAAAAAATAAAAAAAATAAAAAAAATTCTTCTTCGTCTTCCGTAGACCAAAACCAGAGAAATGAGTGGAGAGAGTGGGTTGAAAATAAAATATCAACGTCGCTGTGAGGCCCTTGTTTGAGCTTCATTCTTTAAGAAAAATTCAAAAATAATAAAATAATATTATTTCAACCACATTTTTTTAATAAAATAATATTAAACGTAAATTCAAAAATTTTCATTATTTTTTAACTATACATTTCCTATTAATACACCATTTAAAAATTCATTCTTCCCAAAAAAGGCTCTAACAAGGGCGAGATATGTAATAATAAGGTCCCATTTGATAGTCATTTTTTTTAAAATGTATTTTTCTTTCTCTTTTTTTCAATCACACTTTTTATTAAAATACTATTATACATAAATTAAAAATTTTTTCTTATTTCTCAATCACATATTTCACATCAATTTAGTATTCTAAAATATATTTTTACATAAAATGCCTATCGAGCGGCAACAAATAGAGTACTCACAGTAGCAGGCGGCTTCACCTTCCTCCCTGGGTAATCATGTTCCGCTGAGCATAAAAATTTTAGTTACACCACAAACTTTCTTTGTAAGTACACTCTCTTCATCGTGTGTTAATATGGGTATGTGGGCATTTACATGATACTTGATGAGTTCCTTTTCGATTGTTGTAGAATGGAAAGAGACCCCAACGAAAAGCTTTTGAACGGAGCAGAAAAGGAACAAAATGTTAAGCTGAAAGACAAAATATGGAAGGAATCCAAAAAAATGTGGATTGTGGCTGGTCCTGCTATTTTTACCCGATTCTCGTCGTTCGGAGTAAGCGTAATCAGCCAGGCATTTGTTGGCCATATTGGCTCCACGGAACTTGCCGCCTATGCTCTTGTGTCTACTGTTCTGTTGAGATTTGCTAATGGGATTCTGGTACAATACCGTCTTCATTTTTTTATTTTTTATTTTTTGGGGTAAAGCAGAACCGGTTCACCTTTATACATGTTTCTTGATTAACTAGGGCAAAAATTCTTTGACCTTGTTGATTCTTTCATTATTTATTATTTCTTAAAGACGATTACCTGTTATTAAATACTCTCTCATGATATGGTATTCCAAGAGGGTGATTAGTATATTTGTGATTGGCGAGAAATTAGAATCCATCTACAGTGGCGCTAATTTTTTATTTTTTCACGCTACAAAGATAAATAAATAAATATGGATTTGGGCACGGATTTTCCGTTCCTGAAGCCAATTATATCCCTTGCTAACGATCTTCAGCAACAGAATATATCAATCAAAATTCCGTTGCTCTTTTGAGGGTGGCTGATAGTTGATGGAATTTTGGTAGGTAAAAATCTTTTCATTACCATTGAAGTTATGATATCTTGTAGTTTTCTATTTGGATTTGTGCAGTTGGGCATGGCCAGTGGACTGGAAACTCTATGTGGACAAGCATATGGAGCAAAACAGTATCACATGCTCGGGATATATCTTCAAAGATCATGGCTTGTTTTGGTTATAACCACAACTCTACTTACCCCAGTATTTATTTTCGCGAGCCCAATTTTAAAAGCTTTAGGCCAAGATGAAAGCATCGCAGAAGTAGCGGGAATTATTGGTCTCTGGTTCATTCCTGTGATATACTCATTTATTATATCATTTAGCTGCCAAATGTTCCTACAGGCACAGAGTAAGAACATGGTTATTACATACTTGGCGGCACTTTCTTTGTCGATCCATGTCTTTCTTTCATGGCTTTTAACAGTTAAGTTCAAGTTTGGTATTACTGGGGCTATGGTATCCACTAGTTTGGCATATTGGATCCCTAATGTGGGTCAGATAATATTTGTTCTCTCTGGAGCCTGTCCGGAAACATGGAAAGGTTTTTCATCTTTAGCTTTCAAGGATCTTTGGCCGATAATCAAGCTTTCTTTATCGTCCGGTGCAATGCTCTGGTTAGGCTTACATCATTTACTTGAAGGTTAATTTATGTCTTAAATTACTTTTCATGAGGTTGGAGACTAAAATGTCTTCGTGGAGTCGTGTTTTTACTATTAAACTTGTTCAATGCAGTGCTGGAAGTTTTATCATTTTTCTTGCCCACGAAATTCAATATTTATCGCGCTTTGAACCGTTTTCCCTAAAAGTAATCTAGATTTTGGAGGAGAATCGATATAGGATTTACTTCTCTATGCCATCAATATGCAAATTTTGATCGTAAACATTTGGTTTCTTTGACAGTCTTGAACTCTGGTACAACACCATACTGGTTCTTTTGACCGGAAATCTGAAAAATGCGGAGGTTGCAATTGATGCTCTTTCTATCTGGTAATACTTGTTCCCTCTTCTTTAATTTCGTTTTCATTCTAGCAATCAAATAACAATGGAAGTATTTCAGTCTTAACATCAATGGTTGGGAAATGATGATATCTCTTGGTTTCTTGGCTGCAGCAAGGTACTATAACTCACCTTATTTTCTCGAAACCACAAGTTGTTCGAGCTTGTTTGTATTTCGTACTGTTGGTGACACTTTTGACATTATCTTCAATTACTATATTTTAGCGTTCGCGTCTCAAATGAGCTTGGGAGTGGGAACTTTAAAGCCGCAAAGTTTTCAATCGTTGTGACTGTGTTAACATCGTTAGCCATTGGACTAGTTCTATTTGTATTTTTCCTGTTTTTTCGGGGACGTCTAGCTTATATCTTTACAAAAAATCAAGATGTGGCTTCGGAAGTTGCTTATTTGTCGCCTCTTCTGGCATTTTCCATACTCTTGAACAGTGTTCAACCAGTTCTTTCNCAAGATGTGGCTTCGGAAGTTGCTTATTTGTCGCCTCTTCTGGCATTTTCCATACTCTTGAACAGTGTTCAACCAGTTCTTTCCGGTAAGGTCGTTTGGTGGTTCATTACATCATTTAACTCAACAATCCTTTTTAATTAAGAAGAGAAACTTAAAAAATAGCAGCAATAATTAGAAGAATTTCAGCTCAATATGCTACAAATTTTTTCCTCTTATGATAGGTGTTGCAATCGGGGCTGGAAATCAGAGCTCGGTAGCATACGTTAACATAGGATCCTATTACATAATAGGAATTCCTATTGGAGTTGTGCTTGGTTATGTTATCAAACTACAAGTTGTAGTGAGTTTTTATCATTTTGCTTATTCTATCCTTAATGCTCTTTGACATATTCTTATTGATGGTTCGTCCAACCCCCGATGTCGATCCCCACACACCATATGACACACGGGCACAGGAAAAATGATGAGGATAATGAAGACAAACATTCGTTTCTTCATAAAATCCAAAAAGATTTTTCTTTCATTTCAATGCATCAACCTGTATGAATATTTGTTTGACAGGGTGTTTGGATTGGAATGATATTTGGCACGTTCGTCCAAACCATCATACTCGTAGTATTAACTTTGAGAACTGATTGGGAAAACCAGGTAACTTGGATTTGTTGTCCCTTTCACTTTCAGAACAATTTGATAGACCTTTGTATGGAGATCGAATTGCTAACTATGGATATGATCCTGATTTCATATCGGGCGACAATTTGATTACTTGTTCAAATGTGTTTTTGTTGCAGGTATCTGCTGCTCGTAGACGGGTTAATAGATGGTTTGTGGACGCTGAACCTGATACAAATTCGAGATCAACTGCCTGACCTGACGGAAAATTCGTTCAGCATTTGTGATGTAAATGGCCTACCAAATTCATGGAAGAATTTCAGCATCCCGAAATGGATCAAAGGCGGGTTATCAAGAATTACAAGGCTGGACAGTGTGCTTAAATGAAGAATTAAAAATTAGTTTCATTTCACATCTAAAATTGGAGCATCATGCATCTGGGGAAAAAAAAAATGTCTCTATGTTTTCAATTAGTTTATTTGATTTTAAATAAAAGTGGAGGATCGTGCGTTTGAGAAAAAATTGCCTTTATATTTCCCTTAAGCTTATTTGATTTCTTTAGCTTGTCACAAGGGTTTGCTTATTTCTAAATCTCTAGTTGGTTATATTATTTAGGGATCATTTGTCATGGCTTTTAAAAAGTGAAAATAAACTTTTGAAACTTAAAATCTACTTTTGAATTCGTTTGACTAATTTTATAAAAGTTTTAGTTAGAAATTTTTTTTAGAGAAAGTTGGTCCAATATGATTTTGTCGGAAAGTACTTCAAAATAGGAAGTTTTTTTAGAAATTAGTTTTCAAGTAAAATTAAAGTGGTTTTTTCCAAAAACTCTTTTATATAAAGTAAAAGTTATGTCAAGCGAGCACATGTTATGAATAACATTTATTTTGACTTGAAATAAAAACATTTAATTTGGTTAGTTCGAAATTTATAGATAATTTTCTAGGCATTTGGGCTCCAATTAAACTAGGTTATTTTTTGTTTAAATTCTCAAGCGTCAATATCTTGATCATGCTGCGCCAATTTGTTGCGATGTGGGACGTGTTTATTAAGAAAATGATTATTCTATGTGTACACCTTATGATGTACACAATAGATCACACCCTCCTCAAATAAGGGGGGCTCACAAATATTTTATTATATGTGAGGCCCTCTTCATGTGATGGTGTGTAATGTTTTATATACACCATTGCGTACACAGTACAATCCGAAAAGGAAAAGGTGTAGAATGAAGCATGAACGTTGGAGATAATGCACAGATTGTACAAATGTAGATTGTCGTCGCTCAACGATCGGCCGTCACCACCACTGTCGATTGATAGAAGTACCATAAACCAAATCATCACTAGTAATGCAACTAGTAACTTATTTAGTGAAGTTGGAGCATCGAGTATATTGGGTAGTAAAATAGTTGAACGTGGACATGATAGCAGCTAGAGAAAAAAGGATGCTGCAACTAAATGAATTGGATGAGTTTTGGATGGGTGCTATGAGAATGAGAAATTGTATGATAAATACATCCAGAGGCTTAAGTTCAGTCCAAGTCAAAATGTATTGTTGTTCAATTCTAGGTTGAAATTTTTTCCCAACAAATTACATTCTAGATGATTTGGATCATTCATAGTTGTAAAGTCTTTTCACATGGAGCAGTTGAGGTGACTCATGAGATAAAGAGCACCTTCAAAATAAATGGACAGCGTTTGAAAACATATTGGGGTGGCGATTTTGACAAAGAGAAGTCACTCACCCAAC